GCAGATCTAGATGACTGGATAACAATTCGTCAGTGACCCTGAGGCAGTCGTGGTCAGGGGGCCAGGTTCCGAGGGCAAAAAAGTAGCAGGGTTTAAGGTTTTAGCTGGAGCAAAATATAAGGGGGGGAATTTTCACAGATGAGGGCCTGATATTATGTGACTCTATTATTTGAGAGCCATCAATGTCCTGTTATTCAATAGTTCTAAAAGGCATGGGAAAACTGAATAATTTACTTTTTCCTAATGTTATCTGGTCAGCTTTCTCAATTAGCCATTACTGCAGCTGCCAGGGCTTTATAAACAAAGGAACTATCTCTTCACAGCTGGATCTAAACTCTAAGATAAATATATCACTGGTTAATTCTATGGCCCTATTCCGTCAAGGAGCACCCCTAAAGCAGTATGATTTCTTTTAGTCAGGTACAAACTAAAAGGCTGGATCACATTTAGGATCCCTGATACAGGGGGGCAGCAGAAAGAGTTAGTTTTAGCTGTTTAAATGCTGACTCTTGCTCTTTACTCTATAATAATCACTGTCTTTCTGGGGCCTTTAAAGATTTATACATATAGAGAATCTAGATCCTGTAAAAACCTTTTATCTCAAAAATTTTTTATGTTTTAATTTAAGTCCTTTTATCTCTAAGCAGCACAAACTTTATATCCTGCCTCTTGAAGCAGCATTAATACTCTCTCAATATCCTATTTAGTACATCCAAAAATTAACAATAATCATAATTTTATGTATGAAACTTCATAACCTTTAATCTAATTAGGTATCAAAAGCATTTTTATAGAACCTCTTAATAACTTTTTCTACAGAAATCCTATTTTGAAAATTGGGCACTATAAACATAACACAATAGCATATCTAGAATTTAACCCTTTGATGATAACCAATGTAAACATTCTATAACAACATATTTGGCCATGTTTACTGGGGGTATATCTTTTCAGAAGGCATTAGTGAAAAGACCAGAATAAATTTTCTCTGAGTAGCTGTCTTTTTTACTATTAACAGTTTATCTAGATCTGAGTTTATACCTAATTATCTTGACAAAATTTTAACTTATAAAACCAGGTTATAGGAATTAACAAATTATTAGTATCCTTGCTGTCATTTCAATCTAGTATAATTGGACAAATACCTTTCAAACAATTGTACAGACACAAACTTGTAAGACAATTTGTGAAACTATAATACACTCAAATGTATTTTGACCAATTGAATTATAAGGCAGGTGGCAGCACCATTGAGCTAAATAAATCTCCAGCCCTAACCTCTTTTAGTTAACACTAGTCAAAACTTTGGTAGATCAATTAACAGATCTCATAGAATTAGAATCAAAAGGAATGAAAGCTCTGTTATTATAAAAGTAAACCTTCTGTAACAAACTTGAAACCAACAAGCAAATATATATAATTTTGTTAAATCACTTCCACATACCTTCTCTACATACTTAAGCCTTCTGGTCTTGTATATCTTTCTTTATATCTTTCTAACAAGACAAACATACAAAATCTTTTCATATCAAAAGTGTATTTCTTTTACCCATAGCTTTTCTACTATCTTCTTCTGTCTCATTTACTATTAACCTTCTATAGCAAACTTCAGCTATTAAAATCTTAAAGTGTTCTTTTTTTTTTTCAAGATTGTTACATCTTAAAATTTGACTGGCTATCTATAGAACAGTATTAACCTTGAGTTTTTATCAACAAAGTATAAAAGACCAAGTTAACCCTATAATTGAAATTCAAAAATTTGCAATGCACAATAAATGTTTAAAGCACACCAATTAAACTTAATTTTAATTGAAACAAAGATACATTTATCAAATAGTTAAAATTTTCTAACTTGATTTTTGTTGTAAAAATCTCTTGATGTCTGCCAAAACACAATTGCAGTTTCTCTGGCTTGCAGTTTTTTTTTCCTTATATTTTTGTCTTTCAGAATTTTCCTACCTGATTTTAATCCATTAGAGATTTTCTCATTTTAGTTCTGTTAATCTGAGTGTAAGCCCTGTTTCATCTTTTTTCTGAGTCCCATCATGCTTTCCCATTTGCATCCTCCAGTGCAGTAAGGTTAAACAACTTTGTTCTACCCTTACCTCCTTCATACCTTCTATCTTAGCAACTCAAGTGGAGGGGAGACATCTCGACCTCCTCCAAAGGGGAAACACTGGGATTTGCCTGTAACGATGTCACATTTTCTGAGAGACAAGTTTACCACAGGAAAATGGCAGATTTAGCAAGCAGGTGTTTTACAAACAAAACTAAATAGTTCTTACTAGCAGCTGATTACCACAGAGCAGAAAAGCTTGAGTAGCTCCTAGAGCACAAGAGGCTCCACATTATCAAAGTCTCAGGTAAGTAAAACAAAGGCAGATAACTTTTCTTTTGTCTAGAGTTTTTTTTTTTTTTTCCTTTGGGGCCAAGTCTGGCTTAGCTGAGACCATGATAACTCACAAAGTTTTTAAGCATCTTTGGTTGCAGTTTTATCTTATAGTCCCCCACAAAATCTGTATCAAAATTTTTAATTATGCACTTCAGAACAGTTGGTTTGGCATCAGCATTTCCCATAACTATTAGATATTCCCTTGTCCCCTGATGCAATGCAAGACAAAGGGTGGGGTGCCAGGGTTCTGTTTCAGAAAACAGCCTTGTTTATTTGCCTGGAGGGCTCTTTAAGCATAAGCCCTCCTCCCTTCCTTTTGATGTACAAGGGAAGCTACCCAGCTCTTCCCATTCACTCTCCTAACCAATTCTCTTTCACACACAGTCACCTAAGAAGTTAATACATTCCCTCCCTGGGTCCCCTTCCAAAGACAAACTAGGGAGCAACCCAGGGGATCTCACCATTCAGACAGATGATTTTATTCATTTTCCTTCTTTCTGTTCAACTATTGACGAGCCGGCCTCTGCGTCCTAGAAAGGGAACCCAGGAAATCCTGGGGGCACGCACCTTTTCCCTTCCAAGGAGGCAGACAGTCGCTTGCTCAGGTGGGACTCGGATTGACACAGGGAGCGAAGCTTTCCATGAGAGAATTTAATCCCGTAATCATCCTTCTGCTCAGGGATAAAAAACAATTTTAAAATTAGTTAGAAAGCAATCCATTGGGGTGGTCTTGGAGCTGGATGCTCCCATCTTGTCCCTAGGAACAAATTTAGTTTAACACTCAACAGATGAGACACTGACAAGACAGACAGGCGCCACACAAAAAGAAAAGCTTTGATTCTACTACCCGGAGTCCTCGTCAGGGCCGGGGTCAGGGGAGGTTTCCCGGCTCGTCAGCCACCTCGGTCCTGACAAACAAGACAGTTGCAACCGCCAGCACAAAGCTTACCTCCGGAGGCTTTCAAAGGTCTGTGTCTGAGAATCTCCTGCTGGATCCCGCAACAGAGACTCTCGGCCGGATTTACAGTTCCCGCCTGGGTATCTCGCTGGGGCCTCCAATATGTAAGACCTAAAGTCTCACTTCCACTCCACGGAGCGTGAACAGCCGAAAGGCCTCCACGATGCTGGAGGCTCCAGCGAGGCTCCGGGAACACGACAGAGAACCGAGAAACCCAGGAAGGAACACACCAGGCTAGATGGTAAAAGAGACCTTTATTAGTCTGGCCAGAAGGCACTCCCGGAGCCAGGTGGCTCAGAGAGGCAACTGCTCAGGGGCTGAGGTACTTTTTATAAGGTTTTTCTAAACAAAGAGTCAGGGAATTCACAGAACAAGACTGCAAACACATTGCTTATCTTATGCAGGAAATGTTCTAGGGTCACCTTTTGTCAAACCATTTGCCCCTGAGTGGGCTGTTAACCAAGGTAGCAATTAGCATATGAAGAAGCACAGTCTGGCCTATTAGCATGGAGTCACTTTAGCCTATTCAAGTCTTACACTGGTAACTGATATTCTACAATTCTGTGCCGGGAAGCCTATTTTTCAGTACTAGAGATGGAACCCAGGGCTGTAGCAAATGTTAGACAAATGTTTTACCACTGAACTCTATCAGCGGCGTTTCTTAATTTTATTTTTATGTTTTTGGTACCAGGGATGAACTAGGGATCTTGCGCTTGCGAGGTAGGCGGCAGCACCACTGAGCTAAATGCCAGGCCCCATTTTTTGTTTGTTTTTTTTTTGAGACAGGGTCTCCCTAGGTTGCTCAGGCTGGCCTCAAACTTGTGATCCTCCTGCCTCAGCCTTTAGAACTTTATAAAGGTACCTGAAAGTAAATAGCCAAGTGGAAGGGAGGAGCGGTCAAAACTCAACAATGGTGCACTCGAACCCACAACCTTTTAATGCCAAACAAGAGCTCAGCTAGGACTCCAATGTGCTACACATCGTGCCACAGAGCCTGTTACCCTGGGTGCTCTCGGCTCACCTCTACTGAAACCAGCCCCTCAAGGCTCCTTCTCTCATAGCGCTGGGCGGGGCCTCTGGCTGGCCGCAGGGAGAGGGCTTCTGTCTCCCCACCCCGCCGGGACGCGCGGGGGCTGC